CTGTGTGTTTTTAAAAATGCAGGCTTCAAATGATCCCTTACAGAACCCATCGAGTACAAAAGGAGCCATAGTTCATATTGAATACATGGAACCACTTCTCTTTGTGACATGGCACTATTTTTATGAATTGGATAAATTATACATATTTGTACACATGCAGTTGCTTTGTCACTGGTCTGTTTTACCATTCTTTTCATCTTTGCTCTTCTCCCTCTACTCTGTACTTAAATGTCCACGCTTTTGCACAAGGAGTATTTTATTGTAGTTTGTATTAATTGTATTTTGGTAGCGATACGTGCTAAAATCCAAAATTTATTAACGCTGAGCTGGCTCTAAGGATTCCTTTATACTAGCTGAAGAGTTAATAATCTATTTGTAAAATGATAAAATTTATACCATAATTTTTTTTTAATTGTCAACTTACAAAATTACAAAAGAGATCACTTTACTAATGTGTCATGGTAGCCTGTACTGAAACTTATGGAGTTGTTTTAATCAGTTCTACACTCAGGGATTTGTTTAAATCTAGTTGGCTGCTACACTTCAAGAGATTAATCAGGAGTATGACAATGTTATGCACCAACAAATATTCAATTAAAGTCTCTAAGCAGCCTTTGCTTGAATGTGTCATCTGTTCTCTTTTGTAAAAAATTATACACAGGCAGGAAGACAGGAAAATGGCACCTTTCTCCTTGAAGCTGCCACTTTAGGGAAGGCTAGCCCTGGACAACTTCAATACAGTATTCTTAAGGCCTTAAAAGAATTTGCTAACACATGAAGTGGGTGTTATCACTGGGTTTTGATCTCACTGGCACAGAAGTGGTGGAGGGTCAGAAGCATCAGCTAGTGATGGAAATAGGAAAGTGGCCATACAGTTGAGGTTAGACTGCATTTATTGAGCCTGTGTCAAATCTTCACATGTGTGCCTCTTCCTGCAAGCCCAAGTAGTTCAGTAGGGATGGGCACGAACCAGCTGAGGAACTAAAGTTCGTTACAAATTTTTGTCTGTTGAGGGTTCGCAAACTGAAGTTCTTGAACTTGAAGAACTAGGATGAACTACCACAGATTTGGGGCGAAATTTAAACCATCATTGCTTTGTGCTCCCTGTGGCTTTCCACAGGGAGTAGAAAACAGGGGTTTAAATGGCCCTGCTGTCTGCTCCCTGCGAAAAGCTACAGGGAGAAGAAAGCAGGGTTTAAATAAAAGGGGTGAAGTCCCTTTCTGGGAGATCTTCCCTCCCTCCATTCTGCTGGCAGTGCCCAGCAGAAAGGAAGAGGAAGATCTTCCTTCCTGGAACACCTCTGCCCCCTTTCTGCTGGCCAGGGCTTGCCATGGCCAGCAGAAAGCTGGGAGGGAAGTCCCTTCCCAGGAGATTCTCCCCTTCTTTCTGCTGGCCGCTGTTTTTCAGGCTGTCTTCTGAAGTCCTTTTAAAGGGACCGCAGAAGACAGTGCAAAACAGCTGCATGGTGGGGAGTGCCTTCCCACCTCACAGCTGTTTTTTGGGGCTGTCTTGTGCAGTCCCTTTAAACTTTAAAGGGACTGCACAAGACAGCCCGAAACAGCTGAGCCGTGGGGAGCAAGCTGCTCGCCACCACTCAGCTGTTTTTTCGGCTTTCTGCAAACCCCGTTTAAAGGGACTGCAGTCCCTTTCAATGGGGTTTCCAGGGTCATGAACCAAACAAACCAGTTCAGTTTGGGGTTTGGTCCATGGGCCGCCACAGACCCTGAACCAAACCACCTTTTCCTGGTCCATGCCCATCCCTACTGTCCCCAAATCCTCACCACATTGTTATTGTTCACTTCGAATTGCAAAAAAAGGACAAAAGGAAGGGCTTCTCCCATTTCACATCATGAAAAGTAGCATAGTTCATAAAGCAAAAGTCAAAGTTCCATTCTTAAAAAAAAACACCTTGTGCCTTAAAAAAAGACATTGAAGCATAATACTTTTATGGGTCAACTGATGTTTACTTCTAAGTTACACTGAAGTCTTCCTCAGACTGGATATTCAAGGAAGACAAGAGATACTGCTGGGCCTTGGCCATCCTGGTCTGCAGACTATTCCGTCTTACAAGGAAAGGAAGCCTTTAGGTTGAGGCAGGCCATTTGTAAGAGCTTTGGCTCACATTAAAACAACAGTTTCAACAGCAACAGATTCTGTAGGAAGCCTAAGGCATTCTTAGGTCTAGTTGTATTCAGACATCAAGAGACTTGGAACATAGATTACAAGACACAAAACCCGATCAGTTCTAAAGCGCACTGTATACTTAAGGGCTGGCAATTTCCACTGATACTCCTTCCTGCTGCAGCTCCCCCCCCCCCCATATCATTCCTCCAGGTCCCCTATCTCCCAGGAACAGCATTTTGCCATTGGGAAATTTAGTCTGGCTTCAACCCTAAGTCAATAAAGATCAAAAATGTGTCCCTTGTGCCAGGGATACAGATGTGGTACAGACACCACTTCAGACTGCAGGTGAGGAATACAGTTTTCTTAAACGCTCTACCTCACAAGTAGAAGACTAGCACACAAGCGAGAGGATGTAGTCTGTCTTTTCTCCTACTGTGCTAGTCCTTTGCTTACAGGATTTTTTTTAGTTAGGGGGACAATTCAAAAACTGTCCCACGCCTGCAAGTCTGAAGCTCATTTGACTTCTCATTCCACTTCATATCTACATCCTGCCTTAAGGTTAAAGTATCAGTGTTGCAAAGTAAGTTGGATGACACGTACAGTGTTTATAGTCAAATGCTTTGTTTTATTGATTATTTGACATCAGTAGAACTGTGGAAAGAGAATTACAAATCTCATATGTACAGATGTCTGTAAAAGGAGTGGAGTCAGAGAACCAGGGGAAAATTTAATGTGTGGCCCTGAGCTCCTGGTGCAATACAGATTGCGAAGAACACATCTCATAGTACTGATTGAATCACAGTTCTCTAGTTATGTTGAAACTCACTTGATTTTGTGAGTGGAGATACTTGGCTGCATTCCACTCCAATCCATCATCACATCCAAACACAGGCTCCTCCGCAAATGGACCTTGTTCCCACCCAGAAGCCAGGATTCTATAGTTTGGTTAAATCCTAACTTAGAATTTGAGTTTGATCAAACTGGGAAGTGTTCAATCGTGCTCCGCCTATAAGACAAAGAAGGAACAGCGAGGGAAGTGTGAGCACAGCAAACAAGCTGTGATCAGCCCGATGCCGCCAAACCTCTGTTTAAATAGAGTTTGTTGTGTTCTCTAAATGCAGCCGCAAAGTCCTATTGTGATGTGACATGAAAGAAATGGTTTTATTCTAGTTCCACCAGATCATCTCCTTCCCCAACAGTTTCGCCAGCCTTGCAGTGCACAGCTTTCACCTGCAGCATAAAGGAAGAAATAATTAAACCTTGTTCTGAAAACAGGGCCAGGCAAGCTTTTTTTTTGGGGGGGGGGAGAGATGCTGTTGGTTTTACAATACAAAAAGAATAAATGATGGCGTCCCATTTATAAGATCCCTGTGAATGCATGAACTCAAATTCAAAAGCAACTTCTGGAAGGTAATCAAGCGTATTGTTCATGTCTTTGTACTGTCCTTCCATTCCTATCCAAACACTGAAGAGCAGCTTCTTTTAACACACCCTTCCCCCCAAGCCCCAGAGCAGTTACACAATGTGCTAATTTAGATTTGGAGTCTTAAGAGTTGCAATGCTGGTTACGTTTCTTGGTTTTCTTTGCCGCAGATGCTTTAAAGCAGCAGAGAGAGAAATGCAAATTGCCTTGGTGTGGTGTCTTGCATGGAGAAACTGTACACTTAGGAAGAAAAAGTGGGATAAAAACAATTTCCTCTGAAATCATGCCTAGAGCCTGACTCTTCTTGGAACAGTTAGCACAGTACTGGAGAAAGGACCTGCGCCGAGATGTTTGTACCACCCCAGGAGAATCTGGGGTGCTGCACCAGAGCTTACTTGTATGAGAGAGGAGCCCCACCAAGCTCTTAAGCCCATGCAGACACTCTTGAAGTACCGGGCACTGAAGTTCCAAATTCAAATATACACAATGGTAATCCACACACTCTCTTTGTAGAAAAGAAAAGCAACTGCCTACTTTGCCCTGTTTTGCATCATACAAACGTTTTTCACAAAGACCGTAATCTTGGGAAAACAAACAGCTAACAAAGTTTCATTCCCCTGATAACAATATCATCACAAAATTATTATGAGTCGTCAATAAAATTCTGATTACTGAGAGCCAGTGTTCAGAATTGCGGATAGGGCTGCCAGCTCCGCGTTGGGAAAAACCTGGAGATTTTGAAGGTGGAGCCTGAGGACAGCAGGGTTTGGGGAGGGGAGGGACTTCAAAAGGGTAAAATGCCATAGACTCCACCTTCCTAAGTAGCCGTGTTCTCCAGGTGAAGTGATCTCTGTTGCGTGGAGATCAATTGGAATCCCAGGAGATCTCCAGCCACTACCTGGAGGCTGGCAACCCTAATTGCAGACCAGGAGTGAGGCCGTCTTGGGTTCAAAGCCCCACTCAGCCATGAAACTCTGTAGCTGTCCTTGGGGCCCATCACCCTCTTTCTCAGCCTAACCTACCTCACAGGGTTATTGTTAAGAATAAAATGGGAGAGGGTAGAGCTATGTATGCTGTCCTGAGCCCCTTGGGCGAAAAGCAGGATGAAGATGCAATAAGCAGGCAGCAGCCAACACGTGTATTAGAGCTATCGTCTAAAGAACCTTATAGGTAGCTTTGCCTACCTGGTTTGGCCCTGCTCCTAACACACAAGCCTCAACAGATGACATCATAGGTTAGGGTTGCCAAATCGAAAAAGCTTACCGGCGGGGGAGCATCCTGTAGCTCCGGGAGCTGGCCGGGGATGTGTGTGTGCGCGCGCGCGCGAAGCACGCACGCGCTTCCGGAGCATCACCGGAAGTGACGTCACACGCTGGGGCAGGGCCACGCCATTTGAGGGGAAAACAAAGAGTCTTTGTTTTCCCCTCAAATGGCGTCGCCCCGCCCCCAGCGTGCTACGTCACTTCCGGGTGGGGGTGGGGTTTTCCCCCGGGAATCGGGGCTCGAAACCGGGGGGAATTCCGCCCCCTGGGGGGATTTGGGAACCCTATCATAGGTACACTGAAACCAATGCATGTAGAGAGGGTGTTAAGCACAGTGGTCCTGCCCCACTGCCTACATGCAACTACCAGCCATGTGTAGGCTCTGCCTCTGTGGCTGGGAGTGCTCTAAAATGTGGTGCTCCAAATCATGGGGATGGAGCTCAGGTGTGCAGACTCTGTGCTCAGGCTGGTGACCACATGTATGCAGGGAGGGAAGCCAGCATGCTCATGCTCACTCCCCCTCACCACTTGCTGATTTCAAGGTACATAAAGTCCGGAGAGGGACATAACACACACATGCGAATGAACAACTCCTGATCCAAACAATAAACCACTTTTAAACTTGGCACAAGAGGGAGCAGCAAGCTGCTGTTCTCTGGGGAAAAGAATTCAGGAGAATGGCTGGTTGCACACAAGCCTTTGGCCATGTGCTCTGTATTGTGGGTAATAGGTCCAATTGTGCATGGCACATTTTGGGAGTTTCTAGTATATAAACGAAAACAGCTGAACTGTAGTCAATTTTTTGAAATGAGGAAAAGGCACGAATTACAGTTTCCTAGGGCCACAGTCCAACTTGAAGTTAAGTGTGCTCAAATGATCTTAACTCATATGTTGGATTGTGGCCTAGGCCCAAATCTGAAAAGACAGGTTGCAGCCAAGACTAATTCATTTTGAACAACTGATAAACATTTCTAAATCCAAAGCCTGGTGTGCCACCACAGTTCCAGAATGATATCATGCAGTTCAAGACTGATGCCAATGTTAAAAAGATTTCTGTAGAATAATTACATCTATTTTTATCCTCCTTCCCCCCCTCCTCAAAACTGCAACCCATCTTCAACACGGCAAGCGCCCCCAAAGCTTCCAATCATATAATGAAGCATACCTTGCCAGTTTTAGCAGCAGCCAAACTGTTCTGCATTTTCATAGCTTCAATCACACAGATCTCCTGCCCCTCGACAACCTGGTTAAAAACAGAAAAGTGGTTAAAATGCTATCAAGTATTGCCTAAAATTCAGGGGGATGGGCTGCTAGTGAAGACCAAACCAGACAAAATTGATGATTTTATGGTGGTGGTTTGTAGGATTTTACTTTGTGAACTTCCTCAACCAGATCTCTAGAGAGGCAGCATATTCCTTTCCTAAACGAAGAAAATATAAATTCAGGTGGGTAGCTGTGTTGGTCGGAAGCAGCAGAACAAAGTTTGAGTCCAATGGCACCTTTAAGACCAATCAGTATCTGGTGTGCGTGCGCACGAAAGCTTATACCTTGAATAAAACTTTGTTGGTCTTAAAAAGACCAATACAGCTATGCACCTGAATCTATCTTCATGGAAGGCACCACATTAAGCCACATGGAAGAAAATATAAAAGTGTAATGAAATATACAAATTATTGCAACAATGGATTTGATATTTCAAAAGGTATATCCTATCTCACATGCAGGACACTTTATCTTCTGTATTCAGAGTTCAAACACCACATCAAAACGTGATGCATTCAACTTTGGTGAAGCTATAAATAGATTCCACAGATATTTAGGATATGATTTTATGTTCTGGATACTTGCCTTTAGGCAAGGGTGATCCTAAAAAGAGTCACAAACCTTCTTAGTCTATCAAACTCTAAGGCTATAACTCTTGATTAGGATGGCACTGTTAGGGGCCTTAATAGCATCCAGTTTACACCATATGCAGAATATGGTTACCATCGGGGCTATGCACATTTGACAGTTCTGTTGCAAAGTGCGATCAATTCACAGCTGACTTATGGCAACCCAATGGGGTTTTCAAGGCAAGAGACGTTCAGAGGTGGTTAGCCATTGCCTGCCTCTGCAGCATGACCCTGGTATTCCTTGGAGGACTCCCATCCAAATACTAGCCAGGGCTTACCCTGCTTAGTCCCCAAGATCTGAGAAGATTGGGCTAGCATATTTTGGTACACAATTCAGCATCTAGTTCTAGTTCTTGTTACATCTCTCAAGCCAGAGAAGAACTTAAGGCTGCCAGTCATCAGGGTGCGATGTTTCAGTGCTCCATAGCTTCATGGTTCTCCTTTGTCATCTGGATCAAGCATACTTGAAGGGGTCCTCCCCCCCCCCCCGCCACATAAGCTCAGATGGTCCTTAACTATGAAGCCTGCTCTTTGTTTCTCTACTCCTTAAATGAGGGGGATCTGTGGCTGCCAGGGCAAGGGCGTTTCCTGTGGCAGCCACTGCCCTGCACAATGCGCTGCCAGTTGAAACGAAGACTGCCTTCTCTCTTACCCCATTCGTTAGGCAAGATTTAGCCTGACTTGGCTGTAATTGTTCCAACTGGGGGTGCTTTGGCTATTGTTTTCATTGGTCATGTGGTTTTTAAACTGCTTGATTTCCCTGTAAACTACTTTGAGCAACAAAGGATAGCGGGTAAGAAAACAGCAAGTCATTAAATTAAAGCTGAATGACACAAATTAAATATTGGCATCCTTCAGAGAGGCCACAGAATTCAGTTTCTCTTGGTGCAAAATTTAGCTTCTTTTTTAGTTCTGTTTTGGTGCAGAGCACAAAGACAACACACATAGCTGTGACATCAGCCCACAGTATCTCTCAGGTTTAGAGGAAGACACCAATTTGTGCCTATTAGGAAAGTCCTATGCTGCCAGAACAACAAACACCCCATCTCTGTACTCTTTCAGAGTCACATTCTTGCTTCCTGTTTCTGACTGTTTGAACTCTACTAACAGATGTACACAAGCTCAAGGTAGCCAGCAACCTAATGGGAAGCTCCATGGATTTCCAATAAAATTCCTCTAGAACCAGATGGTGTAGGGTAGGCATGGGTCCATCTTGTGCTGACAAGATATTTCTACCTGATAGGACACACAGCTTTCCAGGAAGACGGGCAATTCTGTTTCCTTACGGAGAAAATCATTTTCCCAACAAAGCCAAACATCAGAGTTTACAGGTGGTGTACATTATTTCTCCACATATCAGATCTGAAATCAACTGTTCATTTTGAAAGAGGGGATACAAAGCATGCCACCCCATGCAGGAAACACAAGACCACGAGGATAGACAAAAGAGAAAAACACACAGACATGCCCCTCTTCCTTTGGAGACTTTATACTATTCCAGAAACGGTAGCAATATGAGATTCTTCCTATAAGTGGTCTGATATGTATTGGGTACAGGAACTAAATAATAGATATGTATAATTGTAACTGTGAAATTCTATCTTCAAGATTATACCACCCACTTATGCAATTTTGTCACTGGAAGCACAATATTAAATGACAATGGCAGAACGGATCTATTGCATGAATAAATGTATTTGTTACACTAATTCCCATCACCACCGGACTTTTGTCTCCCCCCTGGCACACCTGCTGCCTCTATCCAGCAGCACTAAGTTGGAGTCTTCGTACACCTATTCTTTGTTGTCCCACCAACTGTTCCTCACTTCTTTCATCCTTTCTTGGCACCTTGGTGCATCCGATACCAAGTTGTGAACACTATTCAAATTCACCTTCTCTTTTTCTTCACATCTCTCTATACAATGGAGGTACGTGACTCGGTGTGTACAAAAAAAAATTAATTATGTGGAAAGTAGCCAGATTCTGTGGCCCATGGGGGGTGGTGGTGGAATCATTGTAGGTATAGTGGAGCTGTAAATCCAGAAGAAGCAGCAACATTCAGCCTTGGGCCTTGATACATTTAGTTTATTATATCCTGCTTTTCTCCCTTACGGGCACCCAAAGCAGCTTATAAGACCACTCTTGCAGACTCCATTTTACCCTCACAAACAAACAACCTGTGAGTCTGAGTGTGAATGGTCCAGCGTAACCCAATGAGCTTCCACGCCGGCGTGGAGATTTGAGTCCGAGGCTCCCAGATCCTACTCTAATCACAACATGATTCTAGCTCTCAGGCGTGGTGATAAAGTCTTTTGGTGTTACAGCAATTCTACATATTACTCAGAGTGAGGTGGTAGAATTCTACACTGATTCAGAAGAAGAAGAGATTGGATTTATACCCCACCCTTCACTCGGAGTCTCAGAGCGGCTTACAAACTCCTTTCCCTTCCCCTCCCCACAACAGACACCCTGTGAGGTAGGCAGGGCTGAGAGAGCTCTTTCCAGAACTGTCCTTGAGAGAACAGCTCTGACAGAACTATGGCTTGCCCAAGGTCATCCAGCAGCTGCAAGTGGAAGAGTGGGAAATCAAACCCAGTTTTCCCAGATTAGAGTTCATGCACTTAACTACTACACCAAACTGGCTCACACCATCCCACCCCCAGTGTTGTTAGTAGGGATGCCAGACCCGCTGGTGGGGGTGGGGTTCCCCTGCGGCCAGGACCCACCTTCACGCTGCCAATGAGCTGAACAGTGGGGGGACTTACCCCCAAAAAAGGAGGAACAGCTGATATTTCAGCAACATGCCTACATGACTCCAATGTGACAAAGGCACATCAGGGCCACACTGTTTTTTTTTGGCAAAAACTCTATGGTAGAAGCTAATTCTACCATAGAGGTTTTGCCCAAAAGCCAGAGCATTGCCCCAACATCCCTGACATGCCTATGTCACTTCTGGGTCATGTTGGAAGTCACGTGGGTGTGTTGCTGAAACATGGAATGAAGCTCCTGGTAAGCCCACCTCCGCATCCGCCGCTGGCTGCCCAGAGAGACCTGACAACCCTAGTTGTTAGCCACCATAGGGAAAAGACCAATCACTTTTAATTAATTAAATGAAGGGCTGAGCTAGCTGTGATGCATGATCCTTGTATACACTGTTCACATGTAAGAAAAAGTGAGTGTGTGTGTCTCTTGCAAAACAAACAACTGTATTCAGTTTCTTCTAGCATTTCCACCCAGCCAGGCTCACTTCCAATATCAAAGCTGGGATGGGAAACAAATTCTTTAAGCACCAAATTTCACCTGAGACCCTGGGGAGCTGCTGCTTGTCTGAGTAGACAATCCTGATAATGATGGACCAAAATCTCTGATTCAATATAAAGAAGCTTCATGTGTTCAACTGTGTTTCACCGCTGGCATCAGTGGTATTAAAAAAACCCAAACCTATAATTGAGAAAATGGACATGTGTGCTAATGATATTTTTTAAAAAGAAAAGAGACTAAAAACTAAAATGAACATGAATAAAAGTTTTGGGCACTCCTTTAGGAATCACCAGGGATGCTTAACCTGAAATTTGCCTCTTAAACATACCCCTGAAACACAGACAGTAATGGTGGTCAAGGGATTTTCTGTTTGATCCCCCAAAACAAAATACTGGGAAATAACTTTGTTCAAGTTCTAACTTTTGACAGGTCTTCTCTCAGTACAGTAAGTATAGTTCCAGTGGATCTTAGTCCAATGATTATTTTAGGAACATGATATAAAATGTTTTCATATTACAGTGGGGAAAGGTTACTTTTCCCCTAAGCTTTATGCTGAATCTCTTAGACCTCGTCCTCAAATAAAACAAAGCCTAATCATATGCAACCATATCTGCTCACATATCCCCTTCCTGTATCTTCTCCTCTTTAGAAAGTGGGGCAGAGGTCTGTCTTTTTTGCTTATGCTACTTTGTAAAGAGCCACGTACACTGGTGTTCCTATAACAGTGCTAAACAGATACTAATTCTATGCAGAAAACTGTATATATCTCGTGTCTACACTGCAATGAACAAGTACTGGACATATGTGACATCAAAAGCCACCAGAAATTCCTATTGTACTTACAGGAAACGAAGCAGACACACTAGTATTCATCTGATGTCATTGTGAATACACCGTTTCCTACATGAAAAATATACCCTTATAGAACAGCAGTTTATCTCAGCCCAGAGCCCAGGATAAATATGAAAGCATCCCAAGTGTAGCCATCTCCCAGTGAAACACAGCTGGTGTTTTCTTTGAGAAAATCCCATGTGGTTGGGGGTTGTGTATGAATGGTGCAACCAAGTGAGCAGGTTCAATGGATCTTGCG